CTCCAGTCGCTGTAGTACATAAGCTAGGCCTGTATTTGGCGCTGTGTCAATCCCGCTTTGCTGCTCGAGATGGAAGTGCAAAGTGGAATAATTAGCTGCAAATTAGCCTCTCTGGCACTGTCAGAAGTAGCCTGGCAACCACCAAGGTTACATAGATGCTGGACTCAGCCTTTTATGGACAGAACTGAAAAAATATTCTTTTATCTCTGTTTATCCAACTAAAATACACAAACCAGTTATTCGTTGTTTTGAATTGGTCTAAACGATCAATCGTCCGTGTTGATCTGGGCTCGTATCGCAGCCGTCTAAACATGACCTATCATGGAGTTCAGTCCCAATTCTGTCGTTTTTGGTTTTGCTACAGAAATCAAGGCCCATCAGACCAGACAGTTGTCTGCTGTCTGAGTCATGTGAAGTATTAACTGTTCCAAACTGACTATCACATGCTTAAATCTCATGATAATTGTTTTCCTGATTTACTGCTACCTTTGTATCTGCTACCAAAGGGCTGGCAATTATTCCTGGATATACTGCATGCATTAAAATTAAATTCTGCTTAAAGTGAATTGTCTCATATTTGGACCGTTCCTTGTAAACACAAGATATTTTTCTGCAGGAAAATTCCCAGTAGATAAACCAGCCAGTCTGGCACCGGGGTCTGAACCACATTTATTCACTCATATCCCAGTTCTTCCTACTTGGTTTTGCCTCAACCTGCACAAACCCATCGAGCTGCACTGACGTCCTGTTCTGCTCTTTAGATGTTTTCAGTCACAAGCAGTCCAGATCGGGTGTTCCTGTTGAAGTGGCCAGGTAGTCTGTCGGTGCCTTAATGGCCAAAGGTGGCGTCATCATCATCTCTTCCAGTAACTCGTTTGTTTTTACATAACCTCCACCAGTGAAGGCGTTTTTTTTTAGCACCTTGTTGTTTGTCTGCAGCCATGAACATTTTTCATTACCCTTTAATGTTGAATCATTACTGAAGAGAAGCCCCCCGGGGGCTTTTACTGTATCTGTTGGAAGGAGGCGCTCCTTCGATATTATAACATCAAAGACACACACAGAGATCACACGTTACAGGCCCAGGAAATCCCCATGTAAGTGCAGTGAAAGTCAGCGTCTGTGAGCATAAATCACACTGTTTTACTCTTTGCCCTTGACGTAATTTATGATCCACTCCGCCTCGCATATTTGCATCACTGCCTATATAAATATATTTATACAGAGCCATGCTAAAGGAGGATCTTCTCCCTGTCTCTTGTTGTTTACCAGCCCCTAATTATATTCATTTTATCTGATTATATTCATCTTATCCCTACTTTGCAATTATAAATCAGGCCGGCTCAATTGAATTAAATTGCAAAGAAGGTCGGGGGTCTTTTGAAGAAGCTTTTCCCTCCACTATTCCAGCGCCTTGTTTCTACAAATGTGTCGGAGTTTCTTCCGGTTTTCAAGCTTTGCTTCTTTTGGTGGGAATATTCTCAATCCTGATGAATGTTAGATGTTTGAAGCAGTACAATTGGGTACTCTTTGTAGTACTTTATTTTGTTTGTTTCTATTTAATTATTTATTCATTTGAAATTATCACAAAGACAATCATGCGTGAAACATACCATATTTTCTGGACTATAAGTTGCTCCGGAGTATAAGTTGTACCAGTGCCCTCTAGCGGCTGTCAGTATGAAATTAACGAACATGTACATTTTCAGCGGTACAGGAGTAGCAGATTCTGGACCACAAGCCTAGAGTGCCCTCTGGTGGCTGTCAGTGTGAAAATAACAAACATGAAAAATTATATATTTTAATATATAAGTTGCACTAGAGTATATGTCGCAAACATAAAAAAAAGATAGCCAAAAGATAAACAAAAGTGCGATTTATAGTTCGGAAAAACACGGAACATCTACCTGAGGTTATTTGTCTTGTGGTTCCAGCAACATTATATTTAGGAAATGTTCATTTATCTTGGTTAATTAGGAGAAATCTGATTCCTCCTGATTGAATCAGATGATTGTTTGTAATTGTTTGATAGACCCAGATTATTTCTGTCACTTTTGACATTATTTCATAAACATAAAAACAGAGATGAATGCTTGCAGATTTGTCTTTAAAATGGCCAAGGAAAGTCAATTGATCCAGCACTTATTAAAACCTCCATAAATCCTAATTGATGTTCAGGGTTGAGTTACTTCCACATTGTTATCCAGTATTTGTTGATTGATTAAGAAAATAGCAGCCGCTTGATTAATCATTTCCAGCTTTATTGGCTTTAACTAATTCACTTTATCTCTTTTAGTTCCTGCTTGAAAAGCATTGTTTTCCACCAGGCTGTGCCTCCTGTCACCTCCAGCACGGCCTGGACAATTAAAAAGGAACGGAATAGCAGGGATGAGGTAATGATCTCTCCCTAATCTGACCACAACTCAGACAAAGTCACCAAAAAGTTGGCTGCAAACTTCCCGACAGATCGTCTGCTCCGCTCCACTGCTCCCTGCAGCTTTTTTCACTGCTCAGAAAAATCCCTTCGGCCCCGGTTGAAGTGGAGTGAAAGAGAAATTAGCCGCTCCTTGCAGCAAGTCGTTCAAAGTCTAATAATCTCCTCGGCTGTAAACTGGTGTTTGGGAACTTTACGGCAGTGCAGGCACGGTGGGAATTTGGACGTAGAGTGAGTTTTCATGGACGAGCATCTGGCTGTTTGTAAACTCGGCCACTGGCCATCGCTGCTTAATCGGACTATTAAAGCAATGATGAAGAAGAGATATTGGCACCACGTCGAAAACTGAATAAAAAAGTTCCTCCCTTAGAACTTCTATCTTCTTACTCGAGAAGAATAGACATTCAGATGGAACGTTCCGTGGCTCTTCTACATCAGCACAGTGCAGATATGGAGCAGCGCCTCCAATTCTGATGCATTAATAAGTGCACGCACACTCACCGCCTCCTCACCTGCTCCTGAACATCGTCATAAGCCCAATAGAGCAGAAAAAAGTCTGTGAGACGAGATGATTCATCATGTTCCTGACAAATAAGAACCGATTTTTTTTCCCCTGCCTTTGCATCCGATTTATCCCCAGTGGACACGTTTTAGTGTCTGTACGGAAGCCAATTAGTCCAGTTCTTTTCTGTGAATTCAGCAAGAAAATCTGATCACTTTATTATAGAGTGTATAAAACTTTATTTCTAGAAACATCTAAATTGTTCAGAGAGACAAAGAAACTGGAAGTAGAAAACGGTTTAAGAGACTTTTATTTCTGTGCGTTAAAGATAATTGCATTTCGAATCCGATCCCTGCAGACCACTAAATAAATCTAGACACAAGCAGAGTTGGACGTTGCACATTCAGCAGGTTTTAAAATGAGGATTCAAAGGCTCCCAAATATTTTGTTGGATAATTTTCCCTCCGCTGGAAATCAATGATCCTGAGCATCATGTAGTCAAAGGTTTAGTCCTGTCGTTAGTCATACGGTAAACTACTATTAAGGATCAAGAACAGAGTTTTTATTAGGTTAGATCCAAATGACAATGAGACATAATTTTACTTTTAC